TCCCTCTTTAAGGTAGCCAGAGGTCTGTTGGTAATTCCCCTTATGCCTGGTGGGAGGCTGTTGAACAGTCTTAGTCCCCGGACACTTACTGTCTTTTCTCTTAGTGTACTCATTGCACCGTCAGCCCATTCTTTTGTTTTCGTAGGGAGTGATTTCTGTATTCAGATTTAGGACCATTTCCTCTAGGATTTTCCAGGTGTTGATTATAATCTCTCGCCTGCGCTCCGGTGAGTACAGGTCAAGTGAGTCCAACTGTATATCGAACACCAGGAATAACAATGTAATGAGAGGAGAGGCAAGGAAACCAGGTTCATCCCATGTAGCCGCAACTCTGCAACTACACACACACACACACACACACACACACACACACACAGGAGCTATGAATCGACCCCTGTAACCACAACTAAGTGAGTACACACACAAACACACACACACAAAGGCAAGGATGTAGAGGAGAGGCTTGTTCCCAAGGGAAACAGAAATAATGGGAAGATCAGAACCAGTCCTTGGTTCACCCAAAGGTGTAGGGAGGCAAAAACTAAGTGCACTAGATAATGTAAAAAGTACAGAAGGCAAAGGATCCAGGAAAATAAAGAGATTAGCCGAAGAGCCAGAAACGGATATGCACAGATAAGAATGGAGGTTCAGGGACAATACGAGAATGACATAGCATCGAAAGTCAAGTCTGACCCGAAGCTGTTGTATAGCCACATCAGGAGGAAAACAGTCAAGGACCAGGTAATCAGGCTGAGGAAGGAATGTGGGGAGCTCACAAGAAACGACCAAGAGGTATGTGAGGAGCTCAACATGAGATTTAAAGAAATATTCACAGTGGAGACAGGAAGGAGTCTAGGAATTCAGAATAGGGAGGTACACCAACTAGTGCTGGATGAAATACAACCGAGGAGGAGGTGAAGAAGCTATGTGAAATTGATACCTCAAAGGCAGTGGGACCAGACAACATCTCTCTGTGGGTCCTTAGAGAGGGAGCAGAGATGCTGTGTGTGCCATTAACAAAAATCTTCAACACATCCATTGAAACTGGGCAACTACCCGAGGTATGGAAGATGGCATATGTAGCCCCAGTTTTTAAGAAAGGAGACAAACATGAGGCATTAAACTACAGACCTGTGTCACTGACGTGTATAGTATGCAAAGTCATGGAGAAGATCATCAGGAGGAGATTGATGGAGCACCTAGACACAGGTTTATAAACGACATCCAGCACGGATTCAGGAAAGGAAAATCCTGGAGTTTTATGACAAGGTAACAGAGAGAGAGAGAGGGGTGGATAGACTGCATTTTCTTGGACTGCAAGAAGGCCTTCGACACAGTTCCTCACAAGAGGTTAAAGCAAAAGCTAGATCAAGCACGCATAACAGGAAAGGCACTGCAATGGACCAGAGAATATCTGACAGGGAGGCAAGAACGAGTTGTGGTACGTGACGAGGTGTCAGAGTGGGGGCCTGTGACGAGCGGGGTTCCACATGAGTCAGTCCTAGGACCAGTGCTGCTTTTGGTATATGTGAATGACAAAACTGAAGAGATAGACCCAGAAGCGTCTCTGTTTGCAGATGATGTGAAGTTAATGAGAAGAATTAAATCGATCGAGGATCAGGCAGGACTACAAAGAGACCTGGACAGGCTACAAGCCTGGTCCAGCAACTGGCTCCTTGAATTTAACCCAGCCAAATGCATAGTCTTGAAGATCGGGGGAGGTCAAAGAAGACCGCAGACAGAGCATAGTCTAAGTGGCCAAAGACTGGAAACCTCACTCAAGGAAAAAGATCTTGGGGTGAGCATAGCATTGAGCACATCTCCTAAGGCGCACATCAGTCAGATAACTGCTGCAGCATACGGGCGTCTGGCAGACCTGAGAATAGCGTTCCGATACCTCAATGAGGAGTCATTCAAGACTACACCATATACGTCAGGCCCATGTTGGAGTATGCAGCACCAGTTTGGAATCCACACCTGGTCAATCACGTCAAGAAATTACAGAAAGTGAAAATATTTGCAACAAGACTAGTCCCAGAGCTAAGGGGACTGTACTACGAAGAAAGGTTAAGGAAAATCGGCCTGATGACACTGGAGGACAGGAGGGTCAGAGGAAACATGATAACGACATATAAAATACTTCGAGGAACTGACAAGGTAGACAAAGACAGGATGTTCTAGAGATGGGACACAGAAACAAGGAGTCACAATTGGAAGTTGAAGACTCCTGTGAGTCAAAGGGATGTTAGGAAGTATTTCTTCAGTCACAGAGTTGTCAGGAATTGGAAAAGCCCAGAATGTGACGTAGTGGAGGCAGGAACCATAAATAGTTTTTAGACGAGGTTTGATAAAGCTCATGGAGCAGGGAGAGAGAGGACCTAGTAGCAATCAGTGAAGAGGCGGGGCCAGGAGCTATAACTCGACCGTTGCAACCACAAATAGGTAAGTACACACACACACGCACGTAAACACGCGCAAAAACAATCATAGCATCACTCAC